GAGACAGGTGAGGAGTGCGCACACGTGTTTTTTCAGCTGACAGCCTCTGAATCACTCGCGTTTCTTCACTATATTCTCTGACGGATCAGATGTCTTTGCACGGCCGAGTTAAGGCTGCTCTGTGCCGGCTCAAACTCATCTCTATACGAACACCTCACAATCACACACACTGAAGGCTTATATTTCCAGGACTCATGAATCACATTACAGACCGTACAGGACGGTCATGTTACCGATTAAAGACACGGGATTTTTGTTTTTAATAATGATGTGCACAGGTAAAGCATTTATAATAAACACTTCAACAGTCCATAAAAAAATTATTAATTGTCAGTTATTCACTTTATAATTGACTGCATCACTAGTGTTGTGCTGTCAGTCCAACAAAGCAGCTCTACAGCAGATAACACAGTGTGAGTGTGTGTAATCTTCCTGATTTATCACAATTCCTCAGCATATCCAATAGCTCAGAACAACTTGATGATGTAACAGAAACTATGGACTCTCTCTTTTCTAGCATTTTAGATACGGTTGCTCCTTTACGCTTAAGGAAGATTAAGGAAAACAGTCTGACACCGTGGTATAATGAGCACACTCGCACCCTAAAGAGAGCAGCCCAGAAAATGGAGCGTAGCTGGAGGAAAACAAAACTAGAGGTATTTCGTATTGCTTGGCGGGAAAGTAACCTATCCTACAGAAAAGCATTAAAACTGCTAGATCTGATTACTTTTCTTCTCTTTTAGAAGAAAACAAACATAACCCCAGGTATTTATTCAATACAGTGGCTAAATTTATGAAAAATAAAGCATCAACAAGTGATGACATTTCCCAACAGCACAGCAGTAATGACTTTATGAACTACTTTACTTCTATTAGAGATAAAATTGTAACCATGCAGCCGTCAGCTATATTATCGCATCAGATAGTGTGCTATAGATCGCCTGAGGAACAATTCCACTCATTCTCTACTATAGGAGAGGAAGAATTGTATAAACTTGTTAAATCATCTAAACCAGGGGTCGGCAACCCGCGGCTCCCAATCCGCATGCGGCTCTTTCATCCCTCTGCGGTGGCTCCCTGTAACATGGGTGTACATCCCCCCCACTGACTTTTAATAAAACCTAAACTCGGTTCTGCATATCGGTTATCGGGCACATAAACATGCAAATAATTGGTATTTGTATCGGTTATAAAAAAATCAATATCGGTTGATCACTAGTAAGTACTGCCGCTCCATGTATAAGTGCGATCGCGAATCTCGAAAGTGAAACTAAAATGGATCGTGCATTCAAAAGCAGTTTAGTGGCTCCCTGATACCCGCAATTTATATACAATATAATTACCCAATGATATAACTACGAGATAAATGATTAAAATATGTATTTTCCTCCCATCTCGTATTTATTCCCTTGAGGGGTTCCGTATACACGTCATTTTCTTTCCGAACACGGTATTGGGATGCGGCGGATTGCGGAGGTTATGGGAAAGTGAAACTAAAATGGATCGTGCATTCAAAAGCAGTTTAGTGGCTCCCTGATGCCCGCAATTTATATACAATATAATTACCCAATGATATAAATGGGTCTCAGCTCAACATCGTGATGTCTATCAGCCATCGATGGCATCGTCTATCGGCCCAACCCTATTTTTCAAGTCTTTTATATGAATGATACAGTGGTAATTGACAGCATTAATTACAGTACAGAATCTATAAAATATATTTTCTGCCTTATTCTGTGATAAAAATGGAAAAAAAGTGTTTGTAGTATATAAACTATTATACTGATTATACAATCATAACCATAAATTTGTCATTATTAAAATATATATAAAAAATATTATAGGAGACAAATGATTGGTTATTGTCCAGCAGTTTATTTTATTTCTTAGCCAATTAAAAGTAAGAGTTAAGAATTTAAATTTTTTTTTTTGTCAATTAGACATAAATCAATATTATTAGGCCTATTATTATTACTACATTTGACATTTCTGTCCCCCTTACTTCTGAAATGATTGCTACTCCCCATGCCCTGTAACATAACTGAATATAATATGGCTATATGCCGTGTTATCTTTATTTGGGGATCAAATATGTGGCACCACGTGAATTTTATTCGGTGGGAAAGGGGCCAAAATGGCTCTTTTGACGTTGAAGGTTGCAGACCCCTGGTCTAGCACAATTCATATGACCATCTACAGACTTAAGAGAGTTAACATTAGCTAATGTTGCATTGATTGACTATATATAGTATATATATAGTTATTTTTAGTAAAATTTTAAAAAGTGTTTAATAAAGTAATAGACTTTTTTTTAATTAATACTTTTTCAGCAAGGATGCATTCAGTTGATCAAAAGGGACATTAACAGCATTTATAGTACTATAAACGATTTCTATTTCAAATAAATGCAGTTCTTTTGAACTTTCTATTCATCAAAGAATCCTGAAAAAAATACGTATCACGGTTTTCACAAAAATATTAGCAGCACAACTGGTTTCAACATTGATAATAGTAAGAAATTATTCTTGAGCACCAAATCAGCATATTAAAATGATTTCTGAAGGATCATGTGACACTGAAGACTGGAGTAATGATGCTGAAAATTCAGCTTTGCATCCCAGGAATAAATACATTTTCAAATCTATTAAAATAGAAAACGGGTATTTTAGATTTCCATAAAATTTCACAGTATTACTGTAATTTTGATTTAAAAAATGCAGCTTTGGTGAGCATAAAAAACTTCTTTCAAAAACATTTTAAAAATCTTGCCGACCCCATACTTTTGAAGAGTAGTATATAAAAAAAAAAAAAAGAAGTAGAAAAGACATTTTAATACATAGAAAATGCCAGGTTTGGACATCTGTGAACATTTCAGTAATTGAAAAAGAATAATTGATATCAGTTTGAAGGAAGTGATTCTTTAGAAATGAATCACACCTAATAGATCAGAGAATGCTATTAGAGAGTCTATTTCAGCATTCTCATACTGTTTCTTCATTCTTCAGGCCTTGGGAACTGCTATAGCTTCAACCAAATTCATGAAGGCACAGCAAGTAGTGAAGGGGGAAGATGGATCGGAGGTGAGTAAATCAAATGAACAGAATGCACACAATAAACAGACAGTCGAATCAAGCATGAAAATAGTCTTCTACTCCCCTTCATGTCTCTATTTGAAGCTAGACCGCTTTCCTTTTTTGGCCGGGAAATTTATCTCTTTTTGCATTCAATGAGTTTCAAATGACAGTTTTCGGGCCAGTTGAGCTATTATTTCAAATCAGGTGCTGCATTTAATTTTGTTGCCAATGATGTCTTGTCTGTGTCTGTCCTCAAAGCTGAGAGTAATGCAGTTCCACATGTTGAGGGTGAACCCTGCTACACCCGCCCCATCAGAAGACTTACTCATTTTCCCCTCATCACATGATCACTCAGGATGTCCCTCTGCCCCGAAACCTTGTGTCAAAGGACCCTGGAGACACACACACACATACACACTCTTGCATGCAGTGCAAATAGGCACTGTGTGGTAATTAAAGAAAGGAGTGTCCTCTCTGGTTGAATTGGAAGGGAAATCTCTACCTGCAGCGGCACAGTCGTGACCTCCGGTGGCCGTCATCCCGGAGGTCTTGGATGCTGCTTTACTATGCACTTCCTCCTTCAACCAGCAGGTGGCACAATTGATTGAGAAATGGTCTTATTGATACCACTGTTTTGCATTGAACAGACACAAATGAAGAGCTATGTATTAAGAAAAACAGCATTATAGTTAGTAGGGCTGGACTAATGCAAATAAAAATATTATGTCTTATAAATTTTGATGATTTGCTTTAAAATAGCTTTAAAAAATAGTGTAAACAATTTTCACTCTGAAATTGCTAGTAAATTTCACAATTAACACTGAAGTAAACATGAAATTTTGAAATGGAAAAACAAGTTTTGTAAAACATACTCTAATAATCTTCATTTAATTTTGGACAGTAATTTTTTGCAGTGTACTATTAGCACTAATAATGACAATAATAATAATAAGATAGATAATAATATCTATCTATCTATCTATCGTCATCTTTTTTTGGCCATGTGCACCAATATTTTTGTTTCAAAAATTTATAATTCTTAAATGCCATTCTTAAGGAGGGCTTCCTTAACCATTTTCGAGTCATGATGCAGAATAAGTAAATTAATCATTTTTATGAACCAATTCACTGAAATAGACAAAGTTCAAAGAACTGACTCTCATTTTAACAATGGTTAAAGATCCAATTTAATCATTTTTTTTCCCTCCTTCTGTGGATGCAACCCCTTTTTGAGACCGGAAGTTGGGGCAGAATATATCTTTCTGTTTTTGTATGTCTTATTTGACCTAAAAGTCATTTTGCATATCAACTATAAATAAGTATTTGAGTAAAAGTAAGTAATTTATATGTATCTGATATATTGCTCAGCCCTAATAGTTCCTTCATATTGTATCATAAAGATGGTTAAGTTGTTGTTTTGGCTGCAAATTTATATATTTTTTATTTTAAAAGCTTAGAAATGTCAGTTCTCTCAAATTTTAGGCCAATTTCTAATCTTCCTTTTATCTCTAAAATCCTTGAGAAGGTAGTTTCTGTCCAATTATTACATTTTTTAGACGCAAATGGAGTTTTCGAATCTTTGCAGTCTGGTTTTAGGAAACATCACAGTACAGACTCTGCTCTCTTCAGAGTGTCAAATGATATTTTATTATCCGTTGATTCTGGGAACTCTGTAATACTTCTGCTGTTGGATTTGAGTGCGGCTTTTGATACGGTCGATCATGACCTTCTTATCTCTCGTCTTGAATATTGTACAGGTATTAGAGGTCATGCACTGAACTGGTTCAAGTCTTATTTGAATAATAGAACCTTTTCTGTTTATATAAATGGATGTTTATCCTCCAAAGCGCGTCTGACTTGTGGGGTTCCCCAGGGATCTATCCTTGCTCCCATTTTGTTTTCTTTATATATGCTCCCTTTGGGATCAATTTTTAGAAAGCACAGAGTACTTTTTCACTTTTATGCCGACGACACTCAAATATATGTGCCCATCAAGCAAAATGATAATGCTGGTTTGTCTGCCCTAACTGCCTGTTTGTCAGATATTAAGGCTTGGATGTCCAATAATTTTTTAAACTTAAACGAGAGTAAGACTGAGGCAATTGTGTTTGGTCCATTAGCTTTTTCTGGCAGTCTAAATCAAGTGTTAGGCAG